AATAGAGAAGTTAATTAAGCCATGTCTGACTGTACGGCCGTCTGTCCGAGTATACGATGACGATTATTGAAAATCCGACAATAACATAATTTTTGATCGAATGAAAAAAATTCTCTTCAGAGATTATCAAAACATGAAATTAAGATGCATATTTGACTTAAAAATAATCTTATCCCTTATATACAAAAATGTTTTATTTTATGGATTCGCAACCACATCACGCACGATATGAAAAAGATTAAAAACCTTTTAAAGTTAAAAAAAAATATCATAATTTTATTTTTTTGAAAATGTCTGAAAAGAAATATTCTTATTATGGGGGTGGCAGCACACGTAAATTCCAAAACGTGAATTTTCCTGTGTAATTTTGGACCGCCCTAATCTACATATAAATATGTATACATACATATCTGTCGTCACAAGCAATAACCGCCTAAGTCGACTTAAGAAAGAATTGAGTTATATATGCTATCGTATTCTGCAACTACTATTCCATGTGTACGTGAAGTCCCCATCTCGCCACCTAGGCTATTTAAAAAGTTATAGACGAGCATATTTTGGTTTCCCCATAAGTTTAACCTTACAAACGAAATGTTAAAAACGATTTTTGTCGAATTCAGGCTTTTCAACTTTGGCGGTTATTGCTTATGACCACAGACATGCATGTATATATGTATATATGCATGTATATATGTATATGTATATGCATACATATCCCTGCAGAAAATCTGACTAGCCTAGAACTAGCGTAGAACTAGACCTTTTGCCGACAGTACCAGTTCTAGCGCAATACCCAAGCAATGCTTTCAACTGTCCAGCTTTACACGGCGATTTCATTGGCGATGGCAATTGTCGCCCAGTTTCTAGCCGGTTCCATTTTGGACAGTTTTTGTTATGAGATAATATAATTTTTAGCAAAAAAACCGACTTCCACTCTCATATAATAAAAAAAATATATATGTATATATATCTCATGATCCACTGAGCGGAACTTAACTAGATTAGTGGTCCAAAGTTATGCGGTAACATACATAAAAAAAATAAAAAAAAATAAAATATTCCGACGAACTGATAACCTCCTCCTGTTTTGGAAGTCGGTTAAAAAAGTTTTTGAGTTTTGATTTTTGGACATTTTTGGTTTTTTTCTTTTCTTTTACAGATCCCGTTTTTGTTACTTATTTAATTAAAAAAAAAAAAATATTGTAAGCTAGCTGCACGCAACAATTTAAATTCATTAAATTTGAAAACTCACAACTGCCTCCACCGCGATTTAAACTAGCGACCAACGATGGTTGAGTCGGAGGTCTTCTCGCTGAGCAACTCTGGTATTGTATGAGTTCCCTGCAAAAATCGCGACTACTCCATGCATGCGTGTAAAGAGTACTCCCTAAGGACCAAAGAGTACTCCAAAATTAACCACAATTCATATAAAAATATGGTCCAATTAACATTGCGATGTCCTAGGGCAGGACCATATACTCCATCCCTGCATTACATCAGAGTAGCACAAAACTACTCCAACATATTAACAATGGGCATTGTTGTTATATTTTTTCGTTTGTACACGCTTTTGTTCTTCACTTCTCAAATGCTTTTTCGAAATTAATAAAAACCAAGACAAAAATTAAAAATTACATTTTGCCTCTGACGGCATTCGAACCAGAACATGCTGGGAGCTAAGAACTAACAGCGAGCATCCCTACAGGTTCAGCTACTGCCAGACATGCAAATGTGCTTTCAAATGCTCAACTTCAATCACATTTCGTTAAAACACGAGCAGTGATCGGATAACAAACAATAAGCTGGCGCAGAGACACGAGTTGGTCCGCTACAGCATGACAGAGGAACACTTTTGTAAGTACTCCAATTTACCACAAATAGACTACATGGTCCCGCGATTTTTGCAGGGAATATTGCGATCCGCGATCCAGATTTAAAAATTTTTAGGAATTTTGCTATATGGATCACGATCCATCAATACTGCATGCTATACCGTCAATAAATATCGCGATACTTGGATTAGGTCAATAAATACTGACCGTGGGACAGGGCCCATTAGGCCCTATAAGAGACAACTCGCTGATGTGTGGCGAGTGAGTCTAGAAGGTGTGCAAGGGGAATTCGCGTCCCTTTTGACATCAGTTTCGTAAATGAATTCGCCGTAAATTTGATTTCGTAGCGAACAAGGCGAATTTATACAAGGTGGTGTTACTGGTTTGGCATTG